TAACGTTGTTAATTATCTAATAAAAAGCCCCCCGGCCAAAGAGGTCACCTTAAACAACAAAAAAAAAAAAAAAAAAAGAGTATATACTTATAAAGATTTTATTATATTATATTTTAACATATAGTATATAGTTTACTAATACATGTTATTAGTATTATTTATATCTTAATTAATAATATTAAAGATATGTATATTATATAATATACAAAAGTTGATTTTTAAAATTATAAATAGATAATTAAGTTCAATATTATCATGTAGAAGACTGTAAATATAATAGTCAAGACATAATTTTGAACATATTGATTTTTACAACACACTTTATATTTTTACTATAAAGTTTGGTATATATTTAGTAAACTTCTTAAAAATACATCATCTAATTATAAAAATATAGAATAATCTGAAAATTGTAAACAAAACTTACAATATATTTTTAGTATATATATATATAATTTTAAATAAAATTTACATAGCAAGACATACATATATCTTATTATAAAATCAAAAGTTATTAAACTTTAGAAATCTTATAAATACAATCTGAATATGATAAAAAATTTTAGGGCTATATCAATATCAATATTAATATCATATATATCAGATATATCAAGATAATAATAATAATAATTATAAGATAATATAAAATTATTTGATGAAAATCTTTTCTGTTTTAGTCTAAAAGAAATATAATAGGTCATAAATAAAAATATAGCAAATAAAAAAGATGATCTACATCTTACCTTAATATTATTTAAAATGATATATAGCATGCTAATAAAAAAGGTAGAAGTAAGTTAATATATTATCTTTATAGAAATTAATCTGCAAAAGAACTGCAGCTTATATATGTAAGATTAGTTGTAGCTAAAAATTAAAATTTTCAGAGATCAAAATTTTTTGAGCTACAATACCATTAAATAATAAATCTAATTTAACTTACTTTATATTCAAAAAACAAGAATGTTTATAAATTAACAATTCTAATATTAAAAGAAATCATGAATATATTTAAAATAAGATGCAAAAAAAGTATAAAACAAAATATGAGTGAGTATTTAAATCTAGTAAATTTGTAAAAATATCTATACACTGATATTGACAAACTAAAGATATAGAGAAAATTATTGTTTTGCAAAATTTTTCAAAAAAGTCTGATTATAATTGTTATCAAGTTGTATATAAGTTTAAAATCTTTAATAACTAGTATCTAATAAGTAAGCTTGAACTATTGAGGACTTCTGATTACCCTAACCTTGATGTGGTCCCTTTAACAAAATTAATGACAAAATTCTGAAGCAAACAAGTAAGTAAATTATTAAATTAATTTTTTTTAAAAAAATTTTAGTGATAATCAAAGATCTAATAATGAAATAAATACTTTTTTCTTCAAAAAGCAACTAGTGTAATTAATCTAAATGTACCACCTTCGAAAGAGGCGTGGATTTGGCCGGTAAACGGTTTATTACTAAGGTGAGATATCCCAATCTGCCTTTACATATAAACAAATACTATGTATATATACTATTTACTAATCTACCAAATATGCTAAATCTACCATATATGCTAAATCTGCCATATATGCTAAATCTACCTTATATGCTAAATCTACTAAATCTACTAATTCTACTATGCGCTGCATACACATTTACAAACAAATATGTGATTGATCGCTCAATTCGGTTAGAATCTAACGACGATCGATTCCCAATCGTTACATTTTCCTTCACCTAATTTGTTCGTTCCATGAACAATCTCAGTCCTCCAGGATCAAATAGACCATTCTCATCATCGTATATTTCTTTTGGATTACTTACATCGTCGGATATTCCGAATGCCTTATGTTCATTCACTTCCAGATTTATCCCGTTTTGACAACAGGACCCAAGCTTATGCATTCCTGTTTTATGTTCATTCTTTTTATCTTCACTTCTATATTCATAACAACATCCAAGGTTACGTTGTTCATCCGAATTGCTACCTTCAGTAGAGTTCAAGTATCGCTTGGATGTTTTTCGTCCATCTTTTATAGTCGTTTCATTACCAATTCCATCTTTAAACATAACAGTTTTCCCCTTCTTAATAATTCGTTCCACGAATTTAGACAGGTTTTGAAAGTTTCCAGCTTTTATTTTCGTCATCGTAGTCATAGCAATGTTAATCGGGCAGCCTTGTTTTCTTCGATTTCCAAATTTATTCGATTTTCCTCCGGGATCAAACGTTTCATCAGAGCACATCGTTTTATCAAGTTCTTGCCACTTATCAATTTGATAACGAATGAATGCTATATGCTCATCTTTTTTGACTCTAATGCTATGTTGATAACAGTGTCCAAAATCATGTATTTCATTTGCGCTTCTCACTTCTGATGATTTTTGATAATAACTGAGCGTCTTATCTGTATCCTTTTCAACTCCATTCTTCCGTCCATCTTTATCAGACCTTTCATCACTGATTCCATTTTGTAACAGAGTCCTTCGCAATTATATATTTCATCGGAATGGATTATATCGGCAAGTCTTTCATAATCGTATGCTGATTGATCGTTCATTTTATCGCCAATTCCATTTTCATATCGATACCCATCCTTGTACTTTTCGCTAATGTTACCTTGTTCAGCTGACTTTTGATAGTGACTGAATACCATATGTTCGGTCATTCCATCATTTTTTTCTTTCCTCTTGATCATCCTTCGGAATTTATTAACTTTTCTCATCCATATTTCACAAGTTATTTCGAGGTCCTTTTCCGGAGTGGGTGATCGTCCGTCATTTTCAGCATAATTCCGATACCATCCGTGTTTTTCTTCAGCATCATTCAATTCGCCATTATCATCATCATCTTTGTCGGTTTTATTACTGTCTTCGTTGTCGTCTCCATTGTATCCAAGATTTCCAGCACTATCCAGATAAGTTTCGCATTTGACTTTTTCTCTTTCATTTTTATTTTTATCACAATGACCGACCTGTGACGTTTCCTTCGAATTACTTATTTCGACCGATTTTTGATGGTAGATGAACGCCTTATGTTCTTCTACTTCGGTTCCAATTCCCTTTTGATAATGATCGGATTTATTATTTCTATCCGTTTCGAATCGATGTTGCCCATGGTTGTTGGTTTCGTTCTCATCATTATTTTTGTATTTGAAATTTTTCAACCAATCCAGATAGGTTGCATAGTCGCCATCTTTTTCTATTCTTTTTCCATTTTCGTAGTAATGTTTAATTTCGTATGCTTCGTTGTCTTTTTTAGTAGTCGTCGTATCGTCATCATGTTCACCATCGTTGACTTCTCCTTTCTTTTCGTCTTTTAAATCATCGGCTTCATCACCACTTTCATCATCAGGTTCGAAGATTCTTAGCGCCTTTAAGTAAGTTTCTTCGTCGGCTCTTGCTAGTTCACTTTCATTTTCATAGCATTGATCCTGAAGCGTTCCATCAAAATTTCCCGTCTCTGATGATTTTTGATAGTAATGCGTGAGTGACTTGTGTTCGTCCTTTTCAGCTCTCTCAAAGATTTCGCCGGTTTCATCGCTCATAATAATCGATTCTAGAATGCTTAATGAGGACTTTAAAGCTTGAGAAACTTGTTCATCAGCGAGAACAAGATCTCCAAAAACTTCGTCGATAATCGTTTGAACTTTGACGGCTTGTTCTTCCGTAAGGGTCCTAAACAGGGCTGTAACTTTTTCATCCAATAACTTGACGTCGGGGCACATGGAAACAGTGTGTCCATCCGTTCCACAGTTCGAGCATGTGGTCTTCTTTCGCAATTTCCTTCGGTAATACCTATTCACAGTCTGCTGAGACCGATGTTCTTGCTGCTGGCCTTTATTTAAGTGTTTCGTCTTTCTTGTCTTTCGGTTAAACGTTTCTTGGTAAATTTCATACATTTTTTTTTTTTTGTGTTTTTACGAAAAGAGAAAAAAAAATTCACAACAAAAAAATAAAAATGTATTCCGTTTTGGGGTCTTTATATCGATCTTGCTCAAGTCTGTCACTTTTGACAATTTTTCTGACTTATCAATTCTGACGTATGCGTTCTATTATTTATTGTCTCAATGCTGATCCTTATGACTGTCTTCGTCACTATGACTATATATTCTTGCGTTTATTTGTAGATCCTTGTAACTTATACTTCGTCACTTTTAATTCCAATTACCATTTATTCGTCGATCTTTTCGACTATATCTATCACACTAATTTTCAGGTCTTTTCCAAAAAATACTGCGCTTTGTTCTAAAAAAAAAAAAAAATTTTTTTTTTTTATGTTTTTTTTTTTTTTTAAATGCTGTCCCCGAAAAAAAAAAATTCTGTAAAGCGACTTTGCTTCAATTTTTTCGCTTATACTTCGTATTTGTTTTTCTTTTGCCTCGTGTTGAAGCCGTGTTACGTCAGGGAAGTATAAAAATGATACGCTTGTTCTCGAGACTTTATCCTCTAATCGCTTCTAATTTATCCATTTTAATTTTGACTTTGACGTTTTCTTTAGGTCTCTACTTTGACCTTCCTTTATGCTTCGACTTTGGCTTTCCTTTGCCTTTCTTTTCTTAGACTTGACTTTAACTTTGTCGTTCCTTTTGACTTTACTTGACTTTTCTTTAGTTGTAGCCGTTAGTCTTTTAGTTACTTCTTCCGATAGTCTTATAGACGTTAGTCTTTTAGTTCCAATAGTCTTATAGCCGTTAGTCTTTACTTTAATAGACTTATGGCCGTTAGTCTTTTTCCCTAATTACTGTATGCGTTTCGATTTTCCAAAATCGTTACGGTGCTTCGGACTCAGTACGTCGGTCCAGGTGACTCAACCTCTTCAAGGTTTGTTGATGGGTGTTATACGGATCTCACAGTAATCCACCAAATGTAATTAATCTAAATGTACCACCCTCGAAAGAGGCGTGGATTTGGCCGGTAAACGGTTTATTACTAAGGTGAGATATCCCAATCTGCCTTTACATATAAACAAATACTATGTATATATACTATTTACTAATCTACCAAATATGCTAAATCTACCATATATGCTAAATCTGCCATATATGCTAAATCTGCTAAATCTACTAAATCTACTAATTCTACTATGCGCTGCATACACATTTACAAACAAATATGTGATTGATCGCTCAATTCGGTTAGAATCTAGCGACGATCGATTCCCAATCGTTACACTAGTCCATCTAGAACAAATCAAAAAAACTATTGCATTATCAAAAACCTAATTGTAATACCAAAGTTTGCAGTTGTCAAAAAATAATATACTATACACAAAAAAATATAGATGTGTATTATGAAATCAATGTCAAAATTGTTAATTTTTCTTTTTAGCAATTTGATTTTTTCATAATTTTTATATTTTGCAAAAAATTATACTGATTGTAAAATAATTTGTATTAATTTCAAAACAATATAAATCAAAAAATAATGTGAAACATAGATAGTAATGCATTTCATTAAGTATAATATAATGACAATTTGTTATAAACTGTCTTTATATTTTTAACAGACAAATTTCTTGAGAAAATTTTAATATATTATAATAACCATTCTAATCCAAATATTTAAATTCTAAATTTAAAGAGCTGTCAGAATAATTATTTAACACCAATTATAAATAGCTGTGTTAGAATAATTATTGTGGTGGCTAATGCTGAACTTGGTTGATGTTAAAAATTTGACTTATTTTATTATGAAATTTTAAAAAATTTTTAGGCCTTTTTATTAGGGGTTTTTTAGGATTAGGTTAGGGTTTAGGGTTAGTATTATTAGTAAAAAAGTATATGTGAATTTTAGTAGGTATTATAGATTTAAACATGGACACTAAATTTCAGCATCAGCTATGACAATTATTTAATACTAATAATGCTTATTTAACACTAACTCATAAAAACTATTAGAGTGATTATTTAATAATAGCTATAAATTGTTGTTAGAATAATTATTTGATATTTGATATTCACTATCATGTGTGTGATGGTAATATGACAATCAATAGTTTAAAGTAACTTTGCAAAACAATAACAATAATAAAGTTAAATAAACTATGTGATTAGTAATCGTGTCATTATTAGAGTATAGAATATAAGGATATAAATAAGAAATATGAAGAGAAAGATCTAGAGAGTCTTAGCTTAGTTTAGAGAGAGTTTTGCATATTTTGTGTAAAGAGAATTATCTATAGTTGTTGGCAATATTATTTTCAATCAATAAGTAAACAAGTGTTCGTTAAATCCATATCTGGCTAGCAATTCAGCAGATTGGCAGAATTGGACTTTTATTTAGATGCTCTGAATTTGAGCCCTAAATTTAATTAATAATAGTATTCATTTTATTAATTATAAATAAAATTTGTCATTCTCTGATATATTAACTGATATTCATATAATTTATCAATTTGTTATAATTATTATTACCCTTAAAATGATTAATTTAGGGTCTGATTAAAATGGCCAATTCTACTGATCTGCTGAAATAGATTTCAGTGCTAAACTATTAGTATCGCTTAGCCCTGTGACATTCACGCTACACCTGATAATCAGCTAAAATTTACATTGCTGTCCTCATTCACTCGCTGCCGGTCTACTTTCAACATCTTATTTATAGAAAGAAAATGTAAAGTGTTCTCTTTTATTTCATGGAATGTTGGAAAAATCTGCAAATTGTCTATTATAATTGAAAAAAATGTATAAGTTTAACTTGACATTAATAATAGGTCAAGTAATAAATAAAAAAAAAGGCTGATTTAAATATAATAAATAAAACAAAAAAGATCGATTCAAATATAATTTAAAAAAATGAAACTGAAAATACTACTTAAATTTATTATCTTTATTAATGTCTTTAATAAATGTAAATTACATATTATTATCAATGATATATCTATATCACCTAATTCAGAGTTCGTCCGTTTAAACGTTTTTGATTGGTTACCTGATAAATGGTGATTATTATTATGACTTTACAACTGTCAAGTATGTAACTTTTATAACATATAAAAACTCTGATTCTATTATTTGCATGATTGTTATTTGCATGATTGTTAACTATTATGAAATTTCTGTAACAATTTCTGTAAATATCTGTGATCATTATGACATCTGTGATCGTTATTGCATAATTGTTAACTATTGACAACTGTAAAATGGCGAGTCTGTTGCTAATATGTTGTGTGACCTATGAATGGCTTAGTCAAGAGAGGCGTTTAGATTTGGTGAGTAGGTGATTTTAAGGTCATAGATATATCTTATAAGCTTTATCTAAACCTTACTATGGGTGCTAATACTGATGCTTTCAATTCAAACTAATGATCACACAAAAACCATGGCTTGAGTTCTTCAACAATGACTCAAAACCGGAACTTTAATAACCACAGAATCCACAGTCCATCGGGAAACTAAAAAACAACCACAACTATCTTCAGTACGTTGAGACAGTTGGAAAAATAATAACCATGGAGGCTCACAGTTTGTCAAAAATCAACTGGAAAACAACAGTCATACAAAGTCACATGGGCAAGCAATTATGCGAATGAAGATCTTTCACTATGCCACTTAGTGATCAATCTAGATAAAAAGTATTTAGTTAGGGCGTTATTTATTTAGGATCTTAAGTTTTTTATAGGACAATATATAATATTTATTAGGGAACGATAATTGTAAGCATCATGAAACTTATTTTTCTTAGGGACTTCACAGCCTTTATTTATAATAAAAGATCAAGTATTACAATGAATAGCATAAATGCTATAAATCTAATTTATCTCATAAATCTAATTTATCTCATAAATCTAATTTATCTCATAAATCTAATTAGTACCATAAGTGTCATAAATTCCATTTGTGCCATAAATGTGATAAATTCCACAAATACCACAAATGTCATTTATTGCATTTGTCCCTGTGATCCTGGGTTGTACCGAGCCACAGTTGGTGGATCGATTTCTGGGCTCACACTATATAGATTATATAGATTCGAATCAGAAGCAGTGCAAGAGCCTCATGTTTGATGATTAAGCACCTTAACTATGATAGCAGTGCAAGGATCTACGTTGAGATTAGACCCATGGATACAATAGCAATACAAGAATCTCATGTTGTAGTTAGATTCTATGGCTCATGTTTGGCGATTAACTCCGCAATTACAATAACAATACAAGGACCTTATATTGTAATTAGACTTCATAGCTACGATAGAAATGCAAAGGAACTCATGCTGTGATTAGACTCTAAGACCATTGCAGGCAGCGCAAGAGCCTTATTTTTGGTGATTAAGCAACACAACTACGGTAGCAGTGCAAGGACCTCACATTGTCATTAGGCTCCGTAGCTGTGATAGATTAAATTAATCAAAATTCAATTAAATAGAAACCAACAATAACATTCTCATAGTTAAATTTATCACATAGTTTAAAATTTTGAAACAAAAGAAGCTTTTATATAATCTACCTAATCCATACCTTATTAAAAAAAACAAATAATAATTATAACGCTTTCCTGCTAAACACATGTAATATAGTTCATAAATATTTTATTTTAATTTTGTTATATCTACAAAAATTTACAAATTGGAAAATAGAAACCTATAATGCACAGAAAAATTGATGAGGTACAAATTGAAAAATTTTATTTAAAGAGATTATACGAACATACGTACATACAATAAATAAACGGAGGTCTATCTGATAGAATTCAAATGGTACTGATTACTGTAGTTAATTACTCGATAATAACTGGCACACATTCAAAACGTGCTATAAAATGAAAATATTATAAGGTTTAACTAATAAGACAACATGAGTGATGAACATGAAGTTTACTATTTTTAGTACGTAAGTTCAAAATAAAGTTTCATAGCCGATACATACATCGAGTTATGGAAACAAAAGTCGAATTAATTTTGAATCTTATAAATACAATCTGAATATGATAAAAAGGATTTGGGCATACTCAGATCGATCAAATCGAGCAATTCGATCAGAACGATCAGATCAGATAAATAAGATCTGATTAAAATTTTCATATCAAAATCCTTTCTGTTTTAGTCAAAAAGAAAATGTGGCAGATCACGAGTGAGGTTCGCTAATCATAAACTTTAGTAGAAATGATCTGCTGCATGACGACAAGAAAGATTAGAGGGGGGTTAATTTACAATGGACTGAGTTATGAATAAATCCTATCTTAAAACATTTTAAATTTCAAAACAACATACTCGATGAAATACTTTAGAATACACATGGTTTTATAATAAGTTGGATTAGAATTCTATAACAACTTGGACATATTTTGAAAATCTATTACAATCCATCTTTATTCAGAATCAGATTCTAAATCTACAATAATTCCATACCGACGCACAACATATATATAACTAAATCGAAAAAAAACTATCATATACATAAATACACACATTAAAACAAATGAAAATATATTCACGCCCATATTATATAAAAAAATAATATAATTTATAAAACTATCCTTATCAAATAAAAAATACCATATAAACAAAATAACATGCAAGAAAAAATTTCAATTTTTAACCAAAATTAAAACTAATCAAAACTGATATTTAAAATAACATATCTAAACACTACTCCAAATCTATAAACTATAAAAACTCACAAATAAATAATACTAAAAACAATAATATATGCTAACAAAAAATAATTACAACATAATAAGATGGGTGGCGCGAATGCGCCACCCATCGCACTAGTTAAATTTAGTCTTCATTGTCTGCATTAAGAATTGGCCAAGTCATTTTTCAGGCGGTGAGAATTGAGAAATGACATACAGTAAAGTGCTGACTACGATTTGTACCCAGGGGCAATTCATACTATATATCTCGAGTAAATAACAGTTGGTGTAAAATATTATAGACTGCAAAATTGAATGAAATACATATCGGGTATATCCCAATTATTTTAAAGGCCTTGATATGCCAATTTAAAGTTGACATAAATTGAAAAATGGTGTGTAACATGTATGCTTATTTAAATTGATACCACTTAGTATTTGACGTAGTGGAAACGGTTTCGCATAATTGCTCGTTTTGAAAATAAATGCCGACAATGCAGTGACATCTTTTTAAAGTTCATTATACAAATAATATTATATTTAGCGTAAAAATCTTTGCTATTTATTTGTTGTCATCTTGAAATTGCGTTATTGTTAATATTTTGCCATTTGAGCCATCTTACTGTTCTTCAAGTATCATTGAAGTTAAGATTTTATCCTCTAACATCATTTCTTACAATCTCTTTTTCAGGTATAAATAACTGTTTTGCATTTTTAGAAGACTTTAATATAATAAATTATTAATTAGCGTACATTTATAAATTAGTGTTTATGATAATATATTTATCATTATTATTTGTTTTTTTTTTTAGATTTTTTTTTTTAATAATGGGATTTCTGATTAAATAAATTTCTGCAAGGTGATAGTGTTAAACCAAAATCAGTTATTGCAGCGGAGCCGGACATCGGCTAAATTTAAAATAATATGGAAAGGTCTTCCACTCCACACCCTTCGTTCCAGCCCAATTAAATAACACAGAATTTTCACTTGAGACTACTCTAATTATTAAGTAGGTTATTTTTATTTTATTTTATTTTATTTTTTTTACAAGAGATTTTCCTATATTCCTTTATTTCAGATTGTATAATTAGGTACAAAAGTACAAATTTTTACATTCAAAAAGCGAGTAGGGGTTAGGGCTAAGAATTTATTCATTTACCTCAACCTATTCTTAGCTAGATGGTATTAAGTAGATTATTTAAATTTTCCCGTATAAAAAAATAATATGAAGAAAAGTTTAAATATACATAATAAGGTTTTTAAATGATTGAAATAAAAGAATAAAAAAAAGTAGGCATTCAAGAATAATAAACGATTTGAATGCCTTGGTTATATTTAGAGATGGGTTTCATGCGTGCGCATGATTCCTTAATCGTGCGCATTAATGCGCATTCATGCGCATGTTTCGGAATCATGCGCATTTTACCCCATCTAAATTTTATATAGGAAAATTAAAGTATATATAATTTAGGCCAGAGAGCGTAGTATCGGGCGGAATTAAAGAATATGGATACAAAAGTCCCGAAAAATTCCGAAAAGAAAATGAATGAAAATAAAAGAAGAGCAAGATTGGAGTAAAAATTTGAGCTCGTATCCGATATTTTTCGAAGTGAAAATATAAATTCCAAAATTTATATCATGCGATATCGTGCGTATTTTATATAAAGTGCGCATTTGTTATTATAAAATGCGCATTTTTCCCATCAGTAGTTATATCGGGGCGCTTTGCTCTAATAGTCCTAATATTTTGCTGTCAGAAAAATGAGAAGGTAGTTTTAACTCGATAGTAAATGATAGAAAAAGCATGTACAATAACTGCTAACTCATCCACGAGCTGTACCCGGGGACATTCTGCGAATAAAAATTCGATTTATATTATATCTCGAAGAATATAATCTTTATACTTTGAAAAATATATGGTAGGTGCAGACATGAGAAAATATAGTGAATATATTTCTAGTCTTTATAAATACCCTGATACAAGAGTCAGCAGTTTATGGTATCAGCATTACCGACAACGAGGATGCAGTTACATGGTTTCCCCCGACCTATAATGTTTTCGAATTCTTATTACTTTCAAAAAAATTTTTTGAAATAAACCGGAATTTGCGACTTGATTGCTGAGTGACTATTACAAACTATTGGATACAAAATATTATAAGAAGGATATTAAGAAAATAAAAAAAATAAATCGCAATCAACATGAAACATATATTAAACTTCACAAAATAAATATTAGTAAAAATCACTTTAGAACATAACCGAAGCATTCACGTTTAGGTAAAAAATTATGCACCATGATTTTGTGTGTTTTTTTTAAAAAAAGATTGGATGCATATATTATTTATCCGTATTATTTAAACAAAAATACAACGTTCTATTTTTTTTATTTTATTTTTATTTTTTGATAAGAATAATATAAATAATGAAAATCGCGTGACTTATGATCGACCAAGTCTGTTGTAACCATCGTATGGAGAGTTTGCTACGATTATGCCGAGTTTAGCTTAGACATTTATCATAGAACGAAAAATTAATCTTTATTTGGAGATGAATTCAAAGTGTGTCTTTTCTCCTTCAAACTAAAGATGAGGGGACACACTTATATATATTTTAATTTCTCAGAACGTGCTATACATATTTTTAATATAATCATAATAAGCAGTATAAAGAGCAGGTATAAGTGTTGGAAATGGCACGTTATGGTCTATGTACACACTCCTTATTAACATTAATAAACGAATTATTGCTGAGTAAATATAAAAATTTAAATCGATAAATTATTCAAACCTTATAAAAAAAGGTTTAAAAAAATGTTCTGAATGGAATCGCTATGGATATAAAAACAGGATAAAATCTACACAGTTTTAATATACTGATTTTGTCCTGTCTTTATACTTATAGTAATTCCATTCCAAACATTTTTTGAACAATATCGGCAAAGATTAAACAAATGCCGAACGAACTGTTTTTATAGGGAAAGAAAGCTTTTTTCGTAAATCATACCTTCTAAAAAAATTCCCAGTAGTTAAATCCGGTACTGTAGTATACGAATAAAACTCTTTCTCATCTAAACTATAAAATGTAAAACCAGACAAGCTTGATCCAATAACATAAGAGACCGTATTGAATTCTGATTCATTCTTACACTTTCGGTTAACGTATCCGTTTATATTGTTCATCCATGTGAATTGATATTCACAAGATATTAAGTTGGTTTGATTTGAAGTAACGAATTGAATTGTGATTGGCGGACCCCAATCAGTGTAAAAGAAACTTGTGTAATATGCAGTAGCTGTTATCACTCTGTTGTACCATTTGGTAGATATCTATCCTCCTGAACTTCGTAAAAGCCAGGAGTTAGAATTCTTAATGATCGTGAAATAAAGGTCCAAGTTCAAGTTGCTTAGTTTCATTTGAATTATTTGAATTGCTTGAATTTGTTGTAGAATTATCGTTTGGAACTTGGGTAAATTTGTGATCGGGGAGACTTGAAATAACATAATCGTACCGTTCATTATCTGCATATAAATTTCTTAGGCTCAATTAATATTGAAAAGGAATCTTGGAAGTATCATATTCTGTAACAATATCTGACTCGGTAAAGATATAAACGACTACGCAAATAACGATTACTAACATTATCATAGTCGCTCCACATTGTTGGTGGCAAAATCACCAAAATTCGCTGCGCCGAGTTCGACGTCACGGGACCCGAAAACGTGACGAAGCCCCGATTCGAAGCTCCCACGGAATCGCGAAGAAATCGTGAGGAAAAGTTCCCACGAAGCCCAAGGTCACAAGACCTTGTGTTTGTGGCAGTGCTAGAAGCTTAGCTGGAGGAGGCAAAGCGATGATTGCATCATGAGATGGGCTTGGGTTTAGATTAGAAAATGTTCGATCTTGTCCCCCCGCATGTAATTTTTGTTATAAATATGGGCTTGTTCGCCCTCTAATAAAAGAGAGGAGTGTTTGCTCAATAAAGGTCGCTCTTTGGTCCCACCATATACTCGATACGCCTTACCTTGCCAAATTGTAATCGCCTCTACGATCGAGTATGTAGTGGTTGGTTGCTTTGGTTGTGTGTTTTTGGTAGTGATTGGTTGGTCTGCGTTGTGGCCCATTGCCATTAACAACATGTAATCCAGTACCATTTCTCCGAACTATCTTCTATTATTCCTTCTGGCGTTAAATCTTCTAGATTATCAAGTGAATTATGTCGCTCATTTTCTAAGTTCAATATATAGATAAAATATCATAAAATATCAGAAAATTGATTTTTCAAAAGGTTTAGAAATGAATGTGGCTTCTTTATGGTTTGTTCGTTGTAAAGGTGAGAAATAATCCAGAATCACAAAATATGTGCAATACGGATATCAACTAATACTAAGAAATCCAAACAACACACTAAACTACTAAA